ACCACTTTATTACCCCCAGGTTCCAGCCGCAATTCAACAAAATTGTCATTCAATTCGCCCTTAACAACTTGATAATTTATTTCTCTAACAAACTGCATATCTATACATATTATATTGTATATTATACATCGTTCATGTAGTTACTTGGAAAATTTAGACACAACATATATACTTGATGCTCATAATTTTTTTCATGCCGCAGCCCTGCCTTCATCCATTCCTTATTTTCCCTTTCTATTTCTTTTCTGAATTAATTATGTACTAAAAGTGATGAATTTTACTCAGTTGTTTTATTATATATGAGCCAAATGGTATATAGTCTTAAATAAATTAAAGACTTGACCCATTAACCATCAACTAAATAAATAAATTATTTCAAATCACCCGTCAACTAAACAATCGTAATTAAAAAATAGCTCAAAATATCCAAACCAACTTCACCGACATATCAAAATTGACTCAGACAACTATCAGGAGGGGTAAAATGGTAATTTTTTCAATAAGTTTCAAAAATGATTTTCCGGGTCATTACATGTTTATACTTGTTAGCGACCACCTGCACTTAGAATTGGATGAAATGTAGTTAAGCGCTATAAAAAATGGTGTCGCTGCTGGAGAGTGGTGCTTAGAATTCTTTTATTGAAGTGTTTTCATGAACTAATTTTATTGTAGTTGAATTATATTATTTTTGTTCTATATGATTGCTCCAAAGTAGGTGAAGAAATGAGTTTTAATGGGAGGAATGAAAGTCAACTCGGGAACAGTGATGACATCAGAAATTTTCACAATGTTAATGACGATAAGCTGGAAAGTGCGGGTGCTATTCGATTGCCTCCAACTGTAGGCAATGCCCTGTTTCATGTGACCAGCACGATGTTGCAAATGAAAGGTCTCTTTGGAGAGCTTTCTCATGAGGACCTTCCTGACCGCATCCGAAATTTTGTAGATGTGTGTGGATCGTTCTCCTTCAAGAACATCACCCAAGAGTCAGTCCGACTTCGTTTATTTCCCTTTTCTCTAATGGGAGAAACAACAAAGTGGTTGACCGAACTACTCAGGAAATCAATTACTTCTTGGGAGGAGCTCACGAAAGCCTTTTATGAAAGGTTTTTCCCTCCTTCGAAGATGGTTAAGTTGAGGGATAATATTCAGAACTTCAAGCGAATTGATGATGAGCCTATCCATGAAACATGGTTGAGGTTCCAAAAGTCGCTGCTCTAATGTCCAACTCACGGGTTGCCGGACAATGTGCTATTGCAATATTTTTATCGGAGTCTCGACACGATCAACAAAGGTGTTGCTGACCAACTCATTCAGAGTGAAATCATGAGACAACCATTTGACACGGTGTCGGCCCTACTTGATGAGACGATGAAAATTATTCATGCATGGTACACTAGGGAATATTAGGTGTCTCCTTTGAATCTTGGGCTGACAACAGAACAAATGGAAAAAAGAACCAAGAACGGGATAAGAATATGGCCAAGATAATGACCCAAATGGACCTATTGATGAAGCATGTCATGGGAGGTGGTTACAAGGTTGTATATGTTATTGGTTCTAGTAGTGGTGCGAGTCCTGATGACGCACAATTTGAGGCCATGTACAATAAAGAGGTCCAGTTCTTGTCAAACTAAGAAGGGGTTCTTATCCGAGCTATCCAAGGCTGGGAGAGAATCAAGGTTGGAATAGAGATCGCGATGATAGTTGGAGAGATCAAGATCGTGAATGGTGTGACCGTGGTGCAAATTGGAGAGATATAGATGGTGAGAAAGATCTCTATGTGCCTCCTCATGAACGTCAAAAGCCGAAGGAACAAAGGGCTGATCCTGAAAGCTTCCGGACAGAAGATATGCTTGCTCGTATCTTGAACAGCGTGGAAGGATCGGACAAGGTGCTCAAGGAGATGAAAGATGATATCTCTTCTCTAAACCAAAGGTTTACGTCACACTCGGTGTCCATTAAGAAGCTTGAAGCACATATGGGTCAGATCTCAGCTCATGTAAATCCAAAACTGAAATGGGGTCTTCCGAGTGATACTTTGGTAAATCCAAAAAATAAGGCATGATCACATGGCCACGTTGTGCCACGACGTTAAATAAGGTGCTTCTTGGGAGGCAACCCAAATTTTACTTTTTATTCTGAATAATATTGTTGAATGTGCAGGTTGAAATTTGAATTTTAGAGAAAAGGGAAATTTGGTGAGCTAAAGTCCATTTGAAGACATGTCGAGTAGTTCAGCGAGCCCGATGTTTATCACACTTTATACCAACTAAATGGCCAAATATTTGTTAATTTCGGTGAGCTAAAATCCACTCGGCGAATCACCGAGTGGATCAGCAGCATTAATGACCCTCGCTGATCACGAACTGAAGAGTTAAGGGTCTTTGTCAAGACCCGGGGTCACCACATAGGAGTAACATGGCGTACTTGACCCCGAATGGGTCTCATACAAGCCCTTAGCACAATCATAACATAAAGACATAGAATAATTGTGAAAAAATTTAAAACTTTTACAATTGAAGTCAACTTCTTTTACATAAATGAAAATAAGAATCTAGACTTGTCTCAATCACCATCTAGTACAATAGAGAGTACAAATAGGGTCAAAAAAGCCCTTTACATCAATAAAGTCTCAAAATAGGAAAGTACAATAAAACTAGAATTGAATAATCCATCCTCAAACTTGAGGACTCACCAAACTTAGGAAATAATCAACCCAAGCTTCACTTGAAAGGAGAAGTGCGTATCAACGGCTGGAACCTACACTCATAGAATGTAGAAAATATGGGTTAGCACAATTAGTGTACTAAGTATGGAAGCCATGCACAAAAATCCTTAAAACATGCATAAAAGGAACATTTAGTTGAAATCATGCCTTTATCAAGTTTAAAAGCCATAATGCACATTTATGAAGAAACATAAGTCAATCCAACATATAAGCAATCTAAAGCCATACTAGTGCAATGCAAAGGTAAGATCCCATAACCCTACCAAATGTTAAGTATCACATTTAGGCTACCAACAACATATATATCTTACTTTTGCCTCATCCAAAACCAACATACATAACTAAGAAGTCATTCATGTTCATAGCTTGTAACAAGTAAAGTCAACCTTAACATTCATGCATACCTTTCATTCATAATCCATAAGTCATCATAACATAAAAGAACCTCACCATAACTCCTTTTAAAGCCTACTTGTGCAATGCATAAGTGAAGTCCCATACCCTCACTCATACTAAGTAGTACCTCTCAAGAAGTCATAATTAAAGTCGATGTTCTTATCATAGTTCATATTCATATCATAAAGGGAAGTTTAGCCTTAACCGACATAGACCATGTGAGCTACATGGAATCCGAAGTTCTACCCGCACACCGAAAAGAGGTGTCCTACTTGCCTAAGGTAGCTCTTTCATAATAGCTTTCAGGTGGATCCACTAGATAAAGACCTATGTGGGAAAATAACTATGGGATATGGGGTTTGTTACTAGAAACCCAGACTACTAGCGCTAAAGGTTTCCATTCCATGAGACAACATACATTGGGAAGCCGGACTTGCTAAACGTAAAAACATTCATCTCATTTTCATATCCACTCGGTGCTAAGAATAATTTCCTTTAAAAGTTATGTTAAGTCTTTACTTAGATTCATATTCATAAGGGAATGCACTAGGCATTCAAGACAACATAATATCATAAGAGCTCAAAGATTCATTTGGTGAGAATGTCCTTTCACCCTTAGAACCACCAATATGTGAGTAAACCTTTCACATCTTACCAACAGTGTGTTCATGAGCATGGCCTTTCAATCAACACAACAAGCTTATAATAAACATACATACATACTTCATGCATAATCAAGTGTAAGGGTATAGGGAAGAAGGATGTTACATTAATACCACAATTACACAAGTCATACGATCATCACTATATAAGTAAATCATGAACTCATATATAATCTTCATCAACATATATAAACCCTAGATATTGCCCTTCAAGGCTAGGAATCAAGATCAACCCTAACTTCAAGGATTATCATCTTAGATAGAGGGATATCATGATTCAACAACTTAAACAATATAAACATAATCAATTGTTAAGATCTCATCATCAATCAAGCCATATATAGTTCACAACTTAGGAAGAAGGGGAAATCATGGGTCCAAGGGAGATTTTCATCATAAAACATCAATACTCCAACATTCCAATCATAACATCGCGAAAGATTCAATCCAGCCACAGGTTCCCCTACGGCTACCTTGTTACGACAATAATCATAATCAACCAAAGTAAACCATAATTAAACAATGGAAAACGTTTTGGAAGAAGACCCATGTTAGAGATTGAAAACCCTAGGTTTAGGGGATTTGGAATCTTGAACACATAATTTGAAGGAGCTCCTTGGGTGATAGCTACCTAAGGATGCAAAGAATCCATACCTTAATTAAGAATCTCCAAGAAATTCGGGGAAGAACCTTGAGAATCTACAAACAATAGCTCCAATGGTTTCTTCTTTTTCCTTGGGTTTAGAGAGAGAAATATTGAGAGAGGAGGAAGTTTTTTTTTTTTCAATTGGGTGTTTGTGAATAATGACCAAGTCTTGTGAATTTTGACTTAAAAACAATATATATACTTCCCCTAAAAATACCCAAAACACCCCCACTTTAATTGGACTAAAAAGGTAATGACCCAAAGGACCCTCATTTAAGTGCCCCCTGTCAGGGACCATGACCCACCTTCATGAGCTGTGGTGTGGACCACGACCCATGGTCCCCCTCGTGAAGGGTGGGGCAGTAGTTACCTTTTGGTGGCATGAGGCGCATGAGCCCAAGGCATCACCACGAGGGGCTCCACGAGCTGTGGTCAAGACCACGAGCCGTGGTCCCTCTCGTGGTCCTTGAGGCAGTAGCCTCACCACTTGAGGTCCTTTTCTCATTGCCTAAGGCAAATCCACGAGCACCTCCCATGGTCGTGGACATTACCACGGGCCGTGGTGATGGCCATGGATGTTGAGGCAGTAGCTAGGGAAAATGGTGGCCACATTTTCATGGCCAAGGAGGTTTCACGACCACCTTCACGAGCCGTGGAGTGGACCAAGAATCATGGTCCCCCTTGTGAAGGTGGGGTAGTGTGCTCCTAGCTAGGAGTAGCCTTGGCCTTTGGCCTTTGGCCTTGTCTTGGCCTCTTGGCCTTGTCACTTGCCCCTTGGTCTTGACTCAATAAACCTCATTTCAACCTTAAATGACTTACTAAAATTCGGGGAGTCATTTTATGATTCTTAACCTTACGTTTAGGCTCTAGTTTAACCTACCATTTTTTCGGGGTGTTACAGTCTTTCAACTATTTTAAATTCAAATCTTTTGCTTACTTTGAACTTTTTGACTCTTGCAATCTTACAATCAAATTTTAGATCATAGTTTCTACTTAGATTTTTGTGGGTGTCCTCGTGTGGTCGGAATTTGGTGCATTATTCATCCATGTCTGTTTGCTTTAGTGTGCTTTATCTTCAATTGAGGTTGGTTCTCCGAATTAGCTTTAATTTCATTATTTTTATTGAGCATGCTTATGAGTAGTTAATGGATCTATTGTGTTCCTTGATTATATGCCTAATTGCTTGTTGAGTTGTAAATTGAAGTCAATCTTGCCCGATATATTATTTAGCCTAAATTAGTTTGAATTTCATGTTAAATTTGCTTGAAATGCGGGTTTGCAAGTTAGGTTTTGTGTGGGTGAAGTCTGAGTAACCCGATTTCAACCAAACCACTTGAATTTTCCCAATGATGGATTGGGTGACACCATTCTTAAGGGTTAAGTCATTATTTGATTGAATTTGAATCGATTGGGGAAAGTTTGAGTACCCCGGCTTAAGTTTGCGTAGTGGGTAGGCTAGAATTGCATAAAATTATGTTTGAAATTAATTTTAGTAGGTTGTACGTTGAGAGTGGAATTTTGGGGTGAAAATTTGGCACGTTGGGCCATTCGGCGAGCTTAGTCGAGCTCGCCGAGTGACTCTGCGATTCGCCAACTGACTCCCCTTATCGCCTTCTTGACCTAATTGTTGTTGCAGTTATCAGATGTACTATTTTGTTTTTTTATTGACAGACTGTTATTTTATTTAATTCAGTATCTATTTGATCTTACGTATCTGCATATTTTGCTATGTACCTGAATATGACGTGTGATTCCTTGGTAGTGCCTATACATATTTTTACTCATGTATATGATTTATTAGTAGTGTATTGATATAGTGTTATGATTTTGTTGGAGTATGATACATGGGTGGACCTAATCATTCTTGATATGGTGGATTTTGATGTGATTTTAGGTATGAATTGATTATCTCTTTATCATACAATTGTGGATTGTATGCTAAGACTGTTACTTTGGTTAAGCCTACTTTTCCTCATTTGGTGTGGAAGGGTACATTTAATTATGCATATAAAAGTGTGATATCATTTTTAGAGCAAGGAGAATGGTAGAGAAGGAGTGTTTGACTTACTTAGCACATATTCGGGATACTAGTGTAGTGGAGTAAGATGATCTTTTTTAGTATATCACAATTTCATTTATTTTGATAGGTACATTTCCAAGAATTAAAAAACTTACAATATTGTTATAATTTTCAAATATCTCTTATTGGAGGAATATTAAATGACTGGACATAAGTATTTACTGTGAAACTATTGTGATATACTAATTCGAAATTTATATAGATTGAAAGGTACAACTTTGTAAAAAGAAAAAGAAAAAAAGGTACATTCTATTGAATCATGATATATTATTTTTATTGTTGTTTAGTAATTAACACAAAAAAAATTAGAAGCACGTTAAATATTATACAAACAAATATTTTAGAACTTAGAAGTCAAGTTTTATTTATTAGCTAATAATTAATCATTTTGACTGATTGTTTTTACATAAATGATAAAAAGAAAAACGGTAGGAACTAGGATAAATAGTGAAATAGAAATAAATGCAAGAAATTTTTATTAAAAAAATAATTTTAGTTTGTTAATGCTAATTTTCTTTTGAAAAATGAAAATTCAATAAAGGAAGAAAATATTATCGAAATGTTTAAATTTCTTTTGATAAATAAACTAATATGAATAATTGGAGAATATCTGTAATAACCAAAGGATAATAGTATCTTTAATAAGAAAACAATAACAATAACTTTCATATTTGATTGTAAAGCTGTCACTTCAACAAACTTATTAATAGTTGTAACTATACAGGTTTGAGCCTCCAGCCTATAAAATCTTTATATAGTCTCCACAATTTAGATGAACAATTCAGTTTTATCTCTTCGTTCTGGAAAAATAAAATAGGTGAAGTTTTCCTCTTTAGGGTAAAATTTTTATGTTCTTTGACCTTAAATATTAACAATTTTTTATATTATTTTCTTTTTTATTTTATTTTTTCAGGATGTCGACTCATCTAGAACTGATTGAGTGTCCTATATGTAGGGGGACTGTTCGTGGTTATCAAGAATTCATGATTCATTTAATTCTCATTTAGACAATGAAATGAAGGTAGACGTTGTAGAAGGTTCAAACAACCTAAGTGAACCATTACCAAGACCTTCAGAATCAGTCCAACATGTAAGAACCTTGAAAGACAAAAAAATTAATTCACAATCAGCATCACCACCACCGTTATTTTGTCCCCAATGGGTTAGAGATTATAATAGTAATACATATGTGCTTGTAAATCAACAGGAATCATTGCTGCTACCGACATCGATGGCACCACCACCATCATTCTCATATAATTCTCATTTTATTATAGGTAACGATGATGATAGAGGTGTGCATACAAATCAACAACTACTATCACCACCACCATCATATCGTCTTCTCTCAGTTAATGATAATAACATAAGTGTGGAAGAAAATCAATTGCAACAAATGCTTCAATCGACAAGAAGGATTTATGTACGAGATTTAAATTTAGTAGTTATTGACCTAAATGAAACCCCTCTAGAATTTGAAGGACTACATAAAAAGGAGGTAGATTTTTCTATTTTGGATAAATCTGATCCATTACTGTTAGAATTCAAACCTCGACTCATTTGTGATAACGAAACTAGTGAGATGGATCTAAGTTTAAAGCTTTAAGGCCAAGAGTATCTATGCCTAAAGCATTTGCGTCCTTTTTTATTATCTCAAATTGTCTCAACCGTCAATTATTTGGATATTTTTGTTCAATTTTCCTAATCATTTATAAAATTGTACTCCTCTTGAAACTTTAATATGACATTCCTTGGAGTCATTACTCTTTTTGTGTGTGTGTTATCATTATAAACTAAAATCTAATTATATATATATTGATACCATTCATTCCAAAAATCTATGTGTTACATAACATTTTTTTTAAAAATAGATAAATTATTGTTTAATCAAATAGAAGCCGTCAGAATGTTAGTCAGTGATACTAGATACAATCTTAACTAAAACAAAAATTTTAGTTTGAATGAACGAGATTGGCTTATAATTTTTCCACCCCATGAATATTCTTAATGTTGTTTCAAAATGAAATAGTTCATTCTCTAATGAAGGAAAATAAATGACTTATCCTAAGCATTTATTATGTCAACTATTATTATAATCTTAGTTATAAATTCAATTTTATTAATTAACTTAAACAAATTATTATATAAAAACTAACATTAATAAAATACATGATTTTTCAATTGAGTTTTAATGAAATTCATAAAAAATTGATGTGTCAGAAACGTCTTTGATGGGCTTCTCATAAAAAATAATATATTTTCTATGACATTTCAATTGACACTCACCAAAAATTCACATTTTTAATAGTGTAAAATACAATAATTTCGTTTTGTATTAAATTCAGTGAAAATTATTTTTGTTATAATGTAACTTTGTCGCAACACTGATTGATCACACACATAAAAGAAGAAGGATGAAATAAAGAAAAAATTTACAAATATTATTTACTACTCTTTAATCATAATATGACTATATGAGATGACATGATCTTTCAAAATTCTCTATTTAGTCTGTAAGACTGGCGAGCATAATTTAGTGTTATTTCTTTTTTAAGAAAAAAATATTTTTCAGAGCTTTATTTTTGTTCTTTAGAACAATTAGTCACTTGGAACTGCTTCAATGTCCTTCATCTTATTGATAACATTCAAATCCACTCTTCAAAGAGAAAAAGTGTATACGATTGTATGTAATATAATTAATTCAACAATAAGTCGGTGTCGAACTCCAAAGAGGACAATATATAGGTGATCAAGTAAGCTCGAAATCATTACCAAACTTCCATGCATACTACATGTTGAAACTCTAGATCATGAAGAATTAGGGTGAGATGTGTGACACTAAACTGAATGTACGATCATGCTCAATATCGTAATTATTTGATTTATAACACATCTAACACTAATTTATTTGAATTTAATAGAAGAAGTTATGCACGTTCTATCCAAGGAGACAATATATTTTCTAAGTGTTGGTATACCATCAATGAGTATAATGTGGTACTCAAAGCATTAAAGTTCACCATGATAGATAATGTGCCACGATGAAAGAAATAAAAGACTCTGAATTTTATACTAAGAATGGGATGCACTAGACGCCACAACGCGATACTCAACATAGTAGGGTTCACCAAAATGGTTACCATGTTGCACTAAAAATCATTGGAAATAAGAGTTGCCAAGTATAAAGTTCACAAAACAACACACTTAGTCACTTAGTAGTGAAGGTCAACGTGATGGTCACTGCAACGCACTATCCAAGTCACTGCAACGGGGACCATGCCATGGTGAATGTCCCTACATAGTCCAAGCCTATAAATATTACTTAGTTAGAACTTTATCAAAGTTTGCACTTGTTTTTTTTTTTTTTGGAGACCTAACATGAGTACTCTCACCTCTCAACACTTACCCACATTATCGTAAGTTTTCATACATTAATTCAAGTGTTTTTAACACCATATGCAAATCTATAATGCAATTTTAATCCATGATCATAGGATCCTCGAAGAAATTATTCTCAAAAATGTCAAGCTTAGATTTTGGAAAAGATTGATTCTTTACCCATAATTATAAACGGTTAGAGGTATGTAATGCTCTCTCTATATACGAGAA